TCGCTTGCCAAGAACAGATAAAAGAAGAAATGATGGAGATGCTGTACAAAGAAGGGGAGAAAAGCTGATTCATTCATAACTCCTGTATCATAACCGATTAATATTGATCGGTTAAAATCGAGTGATCATAGAGTTTAATCGTTTTTATCGATTAAAAAAAACGCTAATTGTACAATCATCATCAACATATTTGGGGGATTAACCGACGTTGGTGTTCTCCAATTCCTTCTTTCTCCCATCAGATAATTCCAATTCCCGAAGCTGTTTGATAAAGTCCTTCGCTAACACAAGAGCATCATTTACATCACACGCATTATAACGGTTGGTATAGAAAGCTGCGTGACATCTAAAACAATTAATACAAAAATGGACCAAATTTTTACACTGACCCTTCAAAAACAGAAAATTTGATTAAAACAACTTCATTAAATAAATATAAAGAAATGAAAATTACTTTGGATTGTGAGCGACGCACAGTCCCACACCATTTCGCAAGCAAGTCGATAATCCCCAAGTCTGAAGTAGAACTTAGACATCAACAAGACTGTTTCAGGAGTGTGATTTTTTGTAGGGGCTGACGACTTCTGTATAGTATATTATAAAGCTACCAAATTACTGATTTAATCGTTATAAACACCACTTACCTCGCAAAACAAATTCAAACATTCTTCGAGGAACGGCCTAACTGCGCTTTCATTATTTTCTAGGAGTTTCTGAAATGTATTGTGACATAATATATCAATAATATACATGTTAACCAACTTCAAATAGCTTTTCTTTTTTTCTAATATTTTTCCAGAATTTCCCTCCATTAAATTTTGGATAGTGGTTTTCTTAAGCAATCGTTGCACTCTTGGGTCATCTTGCAAGCCCATACTGATACTGAAAAAATTTATATAAAATACTGAGTCACTGAAGCAGCAATGGAAATATTAGAGTAATGACTGTGATGCTGGCGACTCTTGCCTTTCTCTGTGTCTCTGGTCATTGTTACATATCATACCCTTCTCTAGCCCGTTTGCGTGTCGCGTGCGTCTAGTTCAACTGGAGCACATGTTTTTCTACAGGTCCTGCAGAAAAAAAACTTGTTTCAAGAGAGCAACGGGTCCAGGAAAGAGTTTTCCATTAGAGAAAGGTGTTAAAAAGATTTAGAACAAAAAACAATTGGAAAAATTACTAACCACTTGTTCAGTTTTCTGAAAATTCCACATAATGGGAACACAAAGAATTATATTTGTTTAAGTTTGTTGCAAATCTGTTCAGAGCCTTTCAGAAAAAAAAAAACTCTCGGGGATTAATGCACTTTCAGATATGTTTTATTGAAGGTGTTTTGCTGCTTTTCTGCATTAATTGTCTCAACTGGTGTCGCGAGCAAGAAGCTATTGATTTTGTGCCGCTGTGTAATTCAGGCAAGAAGAGCTCATGTACCGCAAAAGCTGCGTTAATCATTTAATTTTTTCTGTTTTTGTAAGTACGATTGAGTGTTTCCGTTTGTCTCTCTAGTTTTCATTTATTTTTTTCAAATACAAAAATTATGAGAATAGCTGAAAGCACCAATGCAGAAAATACATTTCCAACGTTGATATCTGATATGTTATCATGTGCCCAGACTTTCTGCATTCATTTTCGTGATTTGAATGATATTTCTCCGCTTCTTATCAGTTTATGAACATAAAAAACGATAAAGGAATGTTTGAGGCCGTTTTCTTTTTTTTTTTTTCTTGTTGTCATTTCAAGTAAGATGCGAATTAGAACAATCAGAAGTGGATACGTGAAGTTGCTAATGGGATACCCTAAACACGTGTGTTACTTTGTTAGACTAGAACAATTGAAATTAAGTTTCTCGACATAAAAGAAAGATGTGTCTGGTCTTTTGTTGTTGAAGATTTACTGATGATGTGCCGCCATAGCTCAGTTGGTTAGAGCGTGGGTCTAATAAGCCCAAGGTCGCAGGTTCGACCCCTGCTGGCGGCAAAATATTTTGGCTCTGACTCTTAGATCGAAAATAACAAATCTATCTTTCTGAGTCTGTTTTAGAGAAATGCTTGATAGATAAGAGAACTCTTGGAAAGATATGTTTTTTGAGGCTGTTTATTTTCACGCAGTTGCTTTCATCGATTGTCTTCTCTTTTTTTTGTTATTCATCTTGTTAATGCTGGAATTTTCCCCCACACACAAGTTTTGTAGATTCTATGATTAAGAAATATCAACAATAGTTTCAATCGAAAGAGCCTCTCCTCATTCGATTACTTCCATTCAACTTCTTCTTCAGAATTACAACTATCTTAAGTATTTTCATCTCTCGTTTTCTCTCACAAAAAACTTACTTTTTCATAAATCAAGTAGCCGTACAGTCTCTTTTCGTTTTCCGTTCAACATGCCTGCATTTCACAGTTTGCCTGTTCTGAATGAATGTGTTTAACTATGTCCTCACCTGTCGTATAAACCCAATACCTCATTTGCTGGTACTAACATTTTAATTTATCTTCTTTTTTTACCGCTTTTCTTGTGACGTCAACGAGTTTGCGTGGCTGGGCGTCCACCTGAACAATCACAGTTCTTACTCTTCTCATTTTGTTTATGATTTTGCTCGAAGCGGTTGTACATTATATTCCCACTTATCACTGTCTTTACTTTGTCCATTTCAGGGAAATGCGAGAAAAAAACGCCATACTATGGTCGATCCTTCTTATGCTGACCTTATTACCTCCTCTAGACGCCAAGAGAGGAGGTTTTTCAATTGGAAGAACAATGGGAAGATCCTCTACGAATAGGGGAGCAAGTTATGGAGGTGTCAACAGAGGACGAGCAGGTCCCGCACCTCCCCCGTACCAGCGAAACCCACCCCCACGCAATGATGGTAACCAGAATTTCAAAAGAAATTAACATTAATGAATTCAACAGGATATCGCCCACACCAACCTAGTGGAGGAAATTGGAATAACATGAACAATAATGGTAAGCTTTCACCTGCAAAGTCTTTATATAAATGATCTTTCAGGTGGTGGATTCCAAAGCTCCAGGTAAACAATTGCTATATCATTAGAAAAATTGGGAAACGTTACTACAAAATTGGTATGAGATAAGATGTACAAAAAAAATTTAGAGGAAATTGGTTCGGAAACCAGGGTGGAGGCAATGGTTGGGGTGCCAATCGCGCTCATAGGTTCATTAAGAAATTTTTCCCATTTTGTTATGTCCAAGTCAAAAAACCTAAGTATAGAAGTGAAAGTTATGTATCAGTTCTGATATGTCTACCAGCATTTGAAGTGATTTTAATCTTATGTCTAACACGCTAACACTTGAAAAAAAAATCGGTGGCATCATAGATCTGTTTAGGTACACATCAGGAACAGGAATAGGTTCTAAACTGCGCTCTAACACTTTCAAGAATGCAATTGTTGGAGCTGCTGCCGGGTACCTAACTTATCAAGCTGGTAAAGCTATTATCAGAGCAGCTGCGGGTCCTATGATGTGAGTCACGTAGAAAGTTTAAAAAAAAAACAAAGTTTCTTAGGTGGAATAACAGACCATATTATTGGGGATCAAATTACTATCCCAGGACAAGCCAATCTAACATGTGTAGAATGCCAATAGAGCAAGGCGATCAGCAATTTGGAAACGTATATTTCCAGGTAAATAATAGAATTAATAATGAGAAATGCAACCGTCCACTGAGTCATGTTATTTCAAAATAGAAAGCTGAAGTACTTTGCGCATACTACGTCACAACTTGAACTTGAATTAGCTTAGATGGCGCGAATCGTGTGCATGTTAGAACGTTCAAATTCGAGTCTAATACATTCAAATAGATTATAGGAGAAACATGTTATCTTGTATTTTTCAGGATCAAACACGTCCTCGAGAAATAGTGTGGAGCTGTGGATATTATGAACATTGTTGTGGTTATGAGTGCTGCCGTGGTGGAAGTGCTTCGAATTGGAGACCTTCATTTGGTCAATCACTCGGGTACACATTTACCCTTCTCTACACACTCAGATATTATTTATTTTAAAACAAACTAACTATAAAGAATAGAAGAATATAAGCTAATGAAAAGAAAAGTGTTTGTTTTCCCTACTCGTTCGAAATACCAAATATCCATTAGCATAGAAATTGTCTGTACAAGAGAATTTATGGGCTGATCTCGCTTTTGAAATTTTTGTCTTTTGCTATCCCTTTCATTTATTTTTGCATAATTTTTGTTAACCAACCCCTAGTATAACTAATTAGTAAACGAAAAGAAAATCGATCATGTCTTCTGTCCCGGTAAACTACCATTAGCTGTGAAAGACTTTGTATATGACTCGTATATGTGTTAATAACTAACCGATTGAATTATTTGAGTACTTTCCATACTAATTGTGCTCGTTACTGCAGTTCTTTTTTTCTTAAAACTATTTATCTCGCTTGCTCAAATTCTCCATTGACTATAGCCGAACTGTTGTCTTGGCTATTTCAGAACAGTTAAGCCAACTGCGACTGAAGTACCAACTCATGGAGTCATATCTCCCACCATCAATGCATCTGATCCTTCCTCAACCAGTCTTTGATTTGTATTTTGAGAATTAGAAAATCAAAAACAGTAACAGAAATGTTAATAAAGTTTTTTTTCTTCTATTATTATAATTCTTTCACTGCTATGAAAACTGGGCAAAAAGACAGAAGATATGCAAATTAGGTTATTTCTTAAAAGACAGAAAATCGCATGAAATTAGATGTTCTTTCTCATTTCATTTTCAGGATTCTTGTGTTTCTAATGTTCCTTTTCTTTTTCTTCATTCCAATGGCTATCAAGTATTTCCGAGCAGCAAGAAACCCCAATTCGATGATGAATTAGATATACGTTTAGATTTGTAGATGTATTTCCCTCAAATTGTACTTTTCTTATTCTCTTGATCTTCATTGTCTTCTTTCGTTCGAACAATCGAATTCTCTGCAAACTCATGGCCAATTTCTTCGTTCTGATCTCATATGGGTAAACGTTTCATATGTTGTTTTGCTTTTATGGCGTCATTTGCTTGTTGTGCTAAGCTTTAACAGATTTTTTTTTTCGACAAATAAATTTTGTTTCCTTCCACATGTGAATTTGATATAGCGAAAGCGGCTTTATGAAAAAAAATCTCTTGTATTACGGATAATTGGAGGATAATTTGTCGTTTCTTTGACTTCTTCACAACCAAACCGCCGGAAGTACTCGATTCCGCTCAAATGATTTGTGACTTAATGATTAGCCGAGTTCTCTGTGTATCCTTCTCTCTCTCTCTCTTTGTATATTTTTTCTCTTTGTGTCTATTTTTGTTTCTTTCACTATCATTAATTCCCTCCTTCATCTCTCTCACTCACTCTCTTTCGAGAGTTACTCCGAAGTTTCTTAGTTAATCAAGCATTGTCAGTCAACTTTCAGCTTCAATCCTCCTCGAACTCATTGCGAACTTTTCTTTTACACTTCCCGGCTAGCATAAATAAATAAGATTTTATCACCAATTCTTATGATTGGATAAACTTTTCCTTTTTCTTCTTCTGTGAATTGAATGTTCATCTAATATTTCCGGTTAAGTTGACATTCGCGTGTAAGATAACTCATGTGAAAAAATGAGTTTTGAACTCCCATACTTCCTCTTAATTTGGTTAAGTTTCTCTTCCTAAGTACTCCTTGATCAATCTGTCTGTCACATAGAAAACATAGCAATTTGTGAGAGAAAATATTAAAAATCTGAAAGAGAGAGAGAGAATGAAGGTTGCAGCCGTTGAAGTCTAAGGTTCAATCTTTGCTTCGTTGCAGTCTCTCTCTCTCTCTCTCTCTCTCTCTGAGAGCAGTTGTATGAGTATTATATATTTTCTCTCACAAAATAAGAACTTCGACGGATAAATATAATCTATCTATATATGGAGATATTCCGCAAAAAATATTCATTTTATTACGATTAACTGCAAAAAATATTAATCAAAACTTGTCATCCATATTGACATTTTCCAGTCTAATTTCCTTCACCCCAACATCTATTTATTATTTGTAACTTAACGAGATAATGCGTATTCCTTATTTGAATCCAAGTTAATACCTTCAGTCATTTTCTTCGTCACATCCCAAATGACAAAACATAAGAAACGTCTGATGAGTCGGAAATTGTCATTATTTCTCGTCTTAACACCCTTTCAGACTATACGTTTGGCATGTCAGCTCTACCTACGAGTGCGCATGATGAATTATGCCTGGAAATGAAGAGAAACTTATGAAACTTAAACTCAGCGAAGATGGAATTGACTCTATTGGTCTCATATCCCCGCTTCATTCCGTTCCAGCACTCGTCCTCTCATTTCTCTCCTTTTTTTTTCTTCCTCTTCTGCTTTCTCTCCCTCTATCTCTGTTAAAAGAATCAATTTCACTCAGATAGTTCATTCACGTCATTTTCATGGAATTTTTCACATTTTTTACTCCTAAATTGAATTGTCTTTTTCAATAAAACGAGAAAATATGGTTGTACTTCTACAATCATTCACAAATTTCATAAGACATTTTCGTGTAATTAAGTGGATCCCTCTTCTTCCTCTTCATATTTCTAACCTCTCATTTACTTAATGTTCACCTTGTACTACTGCGTCACTTTTTGAGAAAGAGCTTCGATCAGCTGGCTTCCCTTCTTCATTGCCAATTCTGTCTTCTTCGGTCATCCTAATACTTTCATAAACTATTTCAACTTTGAAATATCCAATAAACCAAAACTTTTTTTTTCTGCAAACACAGAACTGAAAGAGCTTTTTAATTTATTTTTTCCTCATTTCCTACCACCACCACCCCCCCCCCCCCCCCCTTCATTCTCTCCCAAAACTGAATAAGATAATTGTATGAACAGAAAGAAAAATAAAGAAAAAAATGGCTGTCTTCCTCCCTCCCAACACACAAACCGGTTGGTTGGCTGTTCATCATTCAAATTTCAAAATAGTACCATGAAGAAAGGGCTTCCATTCACTTCCAACGGATCAGAATTAGTTAAAAGTAGATGAATCCTTGAAGCTTGCTCATGTCCTTCGATCATCATTAATCCTCAGCTCATCAGTCTTGTTCGAATTTTCGAAATCTCCAAACATTCTCTTATATATTTCAGTTTTGTGTCCGCAAATTTCTGTCACAATTGACCGCCATTTCGTATTCAATCAATCAATAAATCTCTCATACAAACATCACATGTATGAATGCATTTGACTTTTAAAATTAAAATAAATACAATATCGTCTCTATTGATTGTCTTTTCATTCACTTAACTATTCATATAAATCACCTGTTAGCTTGTATTCATTTTTAAAACAAAATAAATTATTTTTAATAAGTAATATATATATATATGTTATATGTTATTCTTTTTTGTGCTTGATATATTGACATCATCATCATCATCATGCCTAATTTGCATATCCGCTCTGAGCGCGCCCTTTTCATTTTTCATTTAAAAAACGTACAACGCGGTTGCATTTTCTTGTGTCTCATACAGCCATTCTTGTGTTTCTTTCTTCAATTTTCTCTTTCTCTCTCTCTCTTTACCTCTTTTTCCGTCTCCCTCTCTCTCGTTCTATCTCATTACTGACTCTCTCTATACTCCTTTACTTGATAATATTTATTATTATTATTTTTAAACTATCATCATTATACTTAGAATGCATATGATCTTTCTTCTTGTCATAATTCATCAGTCACAATTGATGGATATCTTGATTGCTTTCATTAACTCTCCATTTTTTTTGCTCATTCTTGTATGTTACTTCATTCTTTCTGTGTGTGTGTGTGTGTGTGTGTGTGTATGTGTAGAACACATATTTCTCAGACAAAAATTTGTTGTTTACACGTCTGAAAGTAACTTTCCATATCCATGTTCCTATCTGGACCTTTCTATTCACCTTTCCACTCGAATTGTTCAGATTTCTCTTTTTGTATACATGGATAGCAAAAAGAACTCAAAAACACTAAAGCCACATATAACTATATTCGTCTATGATTTTGCAAAGCTAAAGGAGAAAAGAAAAAAAAAGAGGAAAAAAGCATTTTTTGTATGTCCAACAAGCCCTTATTGCCCCTAATCCTCAAACGATAATGAAATATTTGTCTTTGATAATTCAATTGATATTTAGGACAAGATTCTACTATTCGTTTAGTCATTCTCGTTTTTGCTATTTTTTTTCCGTCCAATCGTTCTCTTTTTGCCCGAGAACACACACAAACACCTTTACGTTCCCATGTTTAGAGTATGAAGACGAGGGGAGGGGAGAGGAAGAAGACGAACGTAATCTGACCAAACAGTTGTTTCAAAGCAGAATAAGTCATTTATTTACTTGAAAGTTTTCTTTTTTTTGTGTGTTTCGTCGAAAGAGAAAAGGTTAAAAATGGCTCGAAAACAGCAAGAATCGGCTTCTTTTCTGTTTTTCAAACAAAGGAAGTGAGAAGGAAAATTCAAATGAAACTCATATTTTATGCTTCTTTTTCCTAACTCATTACCATATATAAGGTATGTAACAAGTTCTTTAGAAGTACGAGAAACTACTCTTTCCTTCTAACTTTTCAATTATTGAAGAAAAAAAAGTTTTTCTTCTTCTTCTCTTACTCAGTTCCTTCTTCATTCACTCTCACCTCATGTATTTCGAATAAAACTTTTTGCATGTTGTAATGCTCAACAATTCATTCTCGTCACTATGAACTGTTGCAAGGGTTCGAGGATTAAAAGCTTGTTCTGAGGTTAATTTTGTTGAGTGAATAAGGCTTTGAATGCTTTGAAAGTTTATAAATTGCCAGAATACAACAGCACCTTTTGGTCGTTTCGGCATCCACTAGCCAATCTCTCAAATTCATCATGGAATCTCTGTGTTGAAGTTAATTACTGATTCTATCGCTTCCATCACTCTCATTTCGAAGCTTTTTCGTTCTCCTTTTTTTCCCAAACCAAATGAATTGAGCTATGTGAAACATCAGAATGGACGTCTCGGAAGTAGTTGAATATTCATAGTTTCGAATTAATTTCGGAATGTTCCTCTGATTTGTCGCATTCCATTGATATGATGCTGAGTACCTAAACATGATGGTTATCATCAGATGGTTCTAAGCTCCTCGTTGGATGTTCAGATATTGCAAACAAATAAACAAACCTATACATGGAAGTTGATATGAAATGAAAATTTATAAAAGAAAAATGACTTGTGGACGTACTGGACTCTCATTTTTTTGCCTCAAAATCGTTCAGCATCGTCGTCAGTCATTGAAGTTGTGTGTCCCCAAGGAGATGTGTCTCATCCACAAGTAGAAGAATACAAGTTTTGTGTGAAAAATTTGGATAGAAAGGCGATTTACACAAATATTTCTTATTTAGACTCTTCCTCATCTTTTGCCAACAACATTTCTCATTAATCAAAGTTTGTGAAAAAGCAAAAAATCGTTGAAATGATTGCTTCTTGTCTTTTCATCCTCTTGTAACAACCCTCCCTCGCTACTCCCTCTCTCCATGTACGTGCCGCCCTCTCTCTCTCTTATTCTCCCTCACTTATCCCTTTTAGTTGCAATCCAAAAGAATATAATCATTTCGCATAATATTTTGTATGAAAAAGTAACAAATTGTATTATCTTCCTTTATCTCTCTCTTGATGCGGATTAAAATAGAAACATTTCAGATATATGAAGGAAGATCTCAAGAAATCTGTAATTCAAAACCCTTCCTTCTCCTCAATCACAATGGCCTTTTCGCTTCCTCACGTTAGATCATAGATTTCAGTGGAAAAATTTTCGCTTTGCTTTCTCACATTTCCTTATTCAGATGTGTCCAAGTGCCAAACCATTTTTCTTCATTTTCGTTCTCTCTCTATCTCTCTCTTCCCTCTATCTTATACAGCATCTATCTCTCAACTCTCATCTATTTATTTAACTTTTTTCATCTTCATAAAGTACATGAAGATCGTCTTTTACTCTCCCCGATTCTATTGCTTGTTCTTTCACTACCATCCCGTGTACTTTTTTTTCAACGAAAAGCTCTTTCCCTCTGTCTCTTTTCTTCTCCTCCTTCTCATCATTCGCCTTCCTCTTCTATTTCGATCAAAATTGGTGAAAACAAGAAAAATGATTAAATATTTCACAATTTAATCTGATAGTTTGATTAAGCTTTTTTCGAGGTCATTCTGTTGACAAATTCGGAAAGAATTTCATCCTTTTCTCACTTCTTCCAGTCATCTGTCTTTCATTGTGAAAGATCGTAGCCTTCAGACTAACTTTGACCTCAAACATTCTGTCAGTCATTTGCTTGAGATTTATGAACTTAACTTCAAGTTATAACTTTCTTCTTCAAATCCTACATTTTCAGACAAAAAACATGAACATATCACTGACTTCACTCAATATTCTCATATTATTCACTTTATTCTCAATGACATCTGCAATTAAAACGAAATCAAAACCATCGTCAAGTCGTTCGAGATCACGTTTGAGATTCACCAAGAGGTATTCATACTCATTATCATTCTTAATTGATATCATTTGATGTTCAGATTATCACAAGCTGGCTCTATTGAACGGACGGCGTTATTCAGATCAACTATATTAGGACTAACTGCTGGTTATGTAAGCTATCAAGCTGGCAAGCACATAATTAGCAGCCCATCTAATGCTATGACGTAAGTAGATGCTTTTCTTTTTTTTGTTTAGTCCTGCGACATTCATCATGACCGAGCACTCTAATCGGTGTATCAAGAGTTTCGCCGTACATGATGAGAGTCAATCCGAAAACAATAGTTTAACTCATTTGTTTAAGATTCGAAAACCGTCAATACTTCTGGGATTCAACGTTCTTCACACCGTCAGAAGAACTACCAACCCAATGTATAAACAAGATTGATCCGAATGATCCTCAATTAGGAAGAGTAAGTAACTCATCTAGATTGTTATGACATTAGCTTGTTACAGGTATACTTCCCAGATGAAAGTCGTCCACATGAGATTGTCTATGGCTGCCCTGAATCAGAGCTTTGTTGTGGTTACGAATGCTGCAAAGAAAATACATTTTTTACTAGTTTATTGTAAGTTTGATGTATTAGAGTTCTGTAGTCGATGTTACTTATTTCAGTACTCTTCTTGTAATGATTTTGGTATTTTCCATATTAGGAATATTCTTCATTGAAGCTTTTCGATGGGCCTTACACTGTTTTTATATTTGCAAATATGGTCGTGATCGTCAATTTGAGCCATTAAGTATCTAAGAACGACGAAATTTGCATAAACGGGTAAAGGTATGTCTTATTGAATCCACATTGTAAGTATATGTTTCATTGTTTCAGTTTTTATGTTGAACTCTAGGAAATCTGTGATGAAGTCGAAAGAAGGAGAAATGTGATCGACCAACATATACGGGAAGATATAAATTCGCTTACATTATTATAAAAATATGAAATTATACATAATAATCATTATTATAATTTATCAGCTGTTGTCTTCTTGAAACCAAAGACCTTGTAATCATAACGATAGATTGTTGTTAATAAATTGTACAACGTTGAGTTGGATTGCAGTTGTTTGAAGATGTCCATAGCTTCTGGTCGTGACATGAGACTCTTCATTGAACGAGCGCCCACTGAAATATTATAAAAATCATTTGTATTCATTAGGAGAGTTAACCATTCAGTCTGTCTTCAATGAATTCGACATCCTTCTTCGGAACTTTCGTACGAATTAGCTCTCTAATTAGTTCGGTGAACATCAATGGGCGCTCTTCATCGGTTTCACGATATCTAATGAAAGATAAAGACGGACTCGTTATATCCATTGAGCAATGCCTGTCGACGTTATGATGAGATAAGAAATTGGAAACAACCAATTACCATGTTTGTGGAGCCCAAATGTTCAGAACATACTTTACCGTCAATTGGCTTTGCCAGAAAGTACTAGAAGAAGCAATGTTTTTGAATAAGCGCTCGATCACACAACCCAATTCTCCTGGAAGGCAGTAGTAGCAGATTTCATTCCAATCATTCTCTTTTCTGAGACATGAACGATTCAGTAGAAGGATAAGTGAATATGAACTTACTTCATGCAATAATGCAAGAAAGCACTCACAAAACGATAAACAGGGTGACGGACAACTGTCAATGTTGAGTAATTGAAGGGCATAATGCGATTCATATCTTCGAAAGTTGACACTTGGTTTCGTTCTCCACAGAATCTTCAAATTTCAGTTTTTTTATAAAATTTTTTAATGAAGGTAAGCTGACTGTTCTTGTTGGTAATTCATGATGATATCACTGCCATCCTTAATGAACCCCTTTCCATCAAATAGATAGCAGAAGACATTCATGAGTGTTAACGATAGCGCTTCCGGAATGGCACAGCTTGAGATACGGAGGTTAGGAACCATCTATAGGATAACAATAAACTGAGTGGTTAAGTTTTTGAGTTAACAAACTTACTGAATAGTTATTAGACAAAGATATGGTAACATTGAGTGTTTCCACATTGAAAGGATGAAAGAAGTCAAGCATGGCATCTGAATATGATCATTCTGAGAGAGTATGAAGCAATTGATGTTGAACCTGAATCGTTCAAGTAGTATCGTATTCTACTACGTACAGCCAGAGTGAACGGCGACACATTGTCATTATCATAGTAAATGTTAGTCAAGTTATCTGTTTCTTTAGTTAAAAAATCTCGGAAGTAAGTTAGAGGATTAGCATTTGATTCAAATGAATGTGTTAAAAAGAAAATAATGCTGATAATCAATACACAAACACAGAATAATCGAAAGAATAATCGTTTTGTTGAGCATAATGAGAATGGAGAGTAGTAGCATTCTTTGGAACTTGATTTCCTCTCTAGCATGCTCTCAATGCTCGTGATGTCTTTCATTCTACAACAACAGATCAGTGATTATTAATTATATTATATAATTACAATGAATATTTGTCACCAATGAATATATGACAAAAAAACTAAAATGAATGTTTTTCACATTAAAATTCAGGCAATGAACGATGATTTTCATTACTTTATCTTCAACATCTCCTCTACTTTCCAGTTTTTCACTCAAACTGTTTTACTCTCTCATATACCTTTTTCTTCAGATGAAATAATTGAAATCCACGTTGACATCCAATACATACTTCTTGTACTTCACCGTATTTTGTACTGTTTCTGACAAAGATTGACTGAGCACAACCATTGTATACTGGTATTTGAAGCTTCATGTACTCATTTGTATTCAGAATTATTGAAAGGTTAGTTGGAAGAAAAGAAGATCTCAACAGTCGATTGATTTCTATCTGAGCTTAGATTGTCTGTTAACGAGGGGTTGTAATGAAAGAAACAAACAAATTGTTTTATTCAGATAACTATATTGTAACAAAGCAATACATGAGATGCGAATATACTCTAAACGAGCTTTAATACAATTGTATTCCTCAATGCGAGAGAATTTTTGAAGAAAAAAAAATATATGTAAAAGCATATAATTAGAATTAACAGAAATAGTTGACAATGTTTTGATACACATCTGATTATTATACTAAGAAGCATTGGAAGCTGGAGAATTCTCTTGATGCGCATGGTTAGCCATTCAATACCTGATCCGCTGATAAAGGATATATGGCACCAGGTAAGAAGAATCCATCAGTTTTGCTTGCTGCTGGAACTGAGAATGTTGGACCACTCGATATGGATGAGCGCCCTCCAACTGAATTCGTACGAGTTTTAACATTAGCTTTGATTATTCCGGGCTTACTTTCAGCAATAATTGGAGAAGTCTGAAAATGGATATAGGAAATGAACTTGTTTGACGTCACATGACAGCCGGAAACTAACGTCAGTTTTTCATATCCTACAGGGTGAATAGCGTGTACATCTGCGTGAATTATAGCCAGAAGCACAGAAACAAAATGCGACAAAAAACATTTCAAAGAGCTTTTAAGCTTCCACCAGCAAATTTGCCAACATTATCCACCGACCCGACTTTTGAGCTTGATTCAATATATTCGTACTTCTCATCAAATATCTGAAGATTAGCTCTTACAACTGCAGTCGCATCAAAATCAATTTTGTTGTGAAAAGGAAAATGAATGGGAGGAAAAAAAAAAGAAAAGAGAAGCAAAATATAAAGAATTATATAACAACCGTTCTGAGTGTCAGCCCATACAAAGCATTTAGAAAATTTTTGATGAAACATCATCAATATCAGCAGCTCAAACCTTAACATTTCCGCCTCCTGGCTTGTGCCCTATATTATCTTTTGACCCAACTTTACTCGCCGCATTCCACTGAACTTTTTCACTCAAAACCTGCAAAAGCAATCACACCATAGCGTAGCCAAACGTGAAAGGGAGAAGCCAAATTGAAATGAATTTTTAAAAAAAAATGAAAAACTTAAAATAAATGAAAAAATCGCGTGTCGTGTAATTGAAAATGTCTTTTGTATGTATGCTCAGTTAAACGGAATAAGGAGTACTGTATATCTTAACTTTCCTTGTCAACACTTACTTTAACGTTTCCTCCGCCAGGCTTGTGCTTTGCGTTATCTAACGATCCTACTTTAGATTCAGCGCTCCAATTTAGTTTTTGTGTCGGAATCTTAAGATTAAGAGTTGTTTCTGATAATTGAATGACATTTTTTTCTTCTTACTCTCTTATTGGATTGCTTAGGTACATGTTCTGATTTCGCATCAATGCGTGGCTTAGCTGTCTGACTGAAGTTCGTTTTTGTGCTTTCGATCTTCACGTTTCCACCACCTGAACATAATGTTTATTCGAACGCCAAGATATTCAAGAGTATACCAGGAACATGACCAGCTTTTTCAAGTGATCCAACTTTTGATGTTGCGTTATAAGTTTTTTTCTCGTGGAAGATTTCCACTTTGCCTCCAGCTGGTTTATGAGCGGTAATTGATCCCACCTTGCTGACAAATTAGATCATTTTAAAATATTTATATAACGAAGCGAACCTTTGTACGTTGGCATACTTCTTGTTAACTTTGGGTGTGGATGGTAAGCTGGTAAGAGAACCAGCGCTTGAGCGAGCAGCCTGAGGTGTTCTCTGTACGGACTTTGCGCGGGTAGATGCAGGCATCGGAGGTTTCGCTGCCGTTCTCATCGGTGTTGTAGCTGTTTTAGTTCTAAAAAAGGTAAACATATTTTGAGGTATGTATGCTACTTGTTTCTACAAGAAAAAAAATAGATTTTGAAGATGTTTGAAAATTGAAAATGAAAAGTCGAAAACAGACTTATTCTAAACAAATCAATATAGAGCATGCATAAGAAGATGATGTAGTCGACGAACAAAGCTTAAAGCATTGAATGCAACGGAATAAAAGAGGTAGAGGTAGTAGTGGTTAGAAGTATAGAGAAATGACAGAGAGCAAGACAAAAAAAGGAAGAAACAAAGAAGAAAAAGAAGAATCGAAAGATGATTGAGACGAAACACTGAGAGATGAAGCGACAAAATGATGGAATGAAGCTTGAATCTTCACGCCCAATGGCTCTAACACGTAATCGCGAGGACATTCAACCTTTATTATGTTTTTTTCTTCTCAGTTCTACTTCCACATATATATTTTCGGAACAGAGCATATAATGAGCGCAGAAAAGCTGAGCATAATGGAGTGCCAGGATAAAGCTGGCTCAATATAGCTATTTGCAAAAGATTTAAAGAGAGAAAAACCTGAAGTATCCTTTCAATGAATATAATCATGCTCTTCAGCCTTACTATTGCGTTCTTATTCACCAGAATGATATGAGTTGGCGAAGCAATAATAAGCAATGGGAATATGGGGCCAAGAAAAAAACGAGAAATTTTCAAATTGATTTCATGCTCTGAGCATTGAAGTCAAGCAATGAGTTTAAAAATTAGTTTGAAAGCTCAATTGCTAAGGCATAGAGTATAGAAGACCACAAATGTAACACATGGTGAAGCTAATGAAAAGGTTTAGTAATTCGAATTGAGGAGATGTGTTCATGAGATGAAGCAGAGCGAAAGAGAAGCATAAATAGAAGTTAGTATATACGTCAAAGTAATAAAACACGGAGAGGATTAAAGGCAGCCCCCAGTCATAAAACCATGTGCTTACATGTTCGAAGCATAATTTTTTTCGTATACATCAACATCATCAGCGATATAAATAATAAGATAAAGCTCACGGTGGTTTAGTTGAAGCGCTTGGCTTTGATATTGAAGAAGCTTTGGCTGTTGTTGTTGCTGGCTGTTTTGAAGTTGCTGAGGGCATCCTAAAATGTAAAAATATGCTTTAAGCTTAAATCAACATCTATGTTGGGAATAGCAGTGAATGAAAATTTTTTTTTTTCAAAATGTGATTGTAATCACGTCACAACCAAACATCATTCGGATAGTGTACTCAGCTGCTCATCATAGAAAGAGATGAGAATGAGAACAAAATTATTTTTTTATTATTTAAGAAATAAAAACGAACTGTGGAATAACTCTCTTTGTCGGCATTTGCATCTTGGTGGCTGTTGTTGACCGATTGTTTGTGCTTGTCTGAAAACATGCCATTCATGGATTTCATTTTTTGAATTTTATTTAATTGCAAGTCATTAATCTTGGAGAGTGAGCACAATTAGCTTATGATCAACCGATCACTACTATAAAGCTGCACAAAATGAATTATTGAGTGTATGCGTATGCTAATTAATAGGCAGCCCGCCAAATTTGAATAATTCACGCAGCTCATATTGATATCAGTAAACACATTCAGATTCACATATTAATTAAGCAAACTATAATCATACCTTAGCAGAAGGAGCTTTTGGTGGCTTTCTGTCATCCTCAATCTTGGAGTTGGCGATCAGCAGTCTATCAACAGGGTCTAAAGGGATCTCCGGCGATTTGGGCTCTTCTTCCTGCTACAAACATATGTAAATAGTATAAATAATGAATTATTCCTATTTACCTGACAAGGATTAGATCCAGGGCTGACAATTGATTCCGGCAAATCTTGAGTATTTTCGTCATTTGAATGCGTTTGCTCACTTTTTGTTTCTGCATCGACATCTTGTTCGGAACTTTGGGTATTTGATAGTTGCGATAAGTGATCAGTCTCATCTGGTGAATAATTCGTCTGGAGAGGCTCTGATGTTACTTCTGCTTGGCTGCTTTCAATTTCTTGCTCCATCTTTTCGAATAATTTAATATCATTTGCTTCATTGTGAGCTACGTGGCCATTGTCAATAGTTGTCATGTTTGAAGTTTCAAGTTGCGAGTCTAGGCAAGGCTCAGGTTCAGGTTCAGGTTCAATGCAATCTGGTAACTGAAAATATAATCAATAGATGTCTGATAGGCAAGGAAACATAGGAAAATGAAAATTCAATGATAGATCTTGTTGATGTTGTATCTATGGAAGCGAAGAAGACCTTCTGCGGAATGTCATTTTCATGTAACCCACTCGTGAATTTCAAAAACTTTCGTCTTTTCATGTCTTTTCTCTTCCTCACTCTTCTTTTTTCTTCTTCATCTTCATCTCGATTTCCATTTATGTTTTGTATGAATACATTCGTGCTGTCTCCAATTATACTTGACCGCGTTTATATGAAAACGCATCATGAAAACAGCAACTAACTTTCGCGATAATCCAAGAGACCTCCATCATTCCCTAAAACTTACTTCACTTTGTTCTTCTTCTTCTTCGTTGTCTTCGTCGTCGTCGTCGTTATTTGTGTTGTTCTCGTTTTCGGACGAGACTATAATATTCCATTAATGATTTCGTTCTTTCTTTAATGTAATCGATTAACTCACCTTCAGGATCAGCAGGGGCTTGTTCTTCACTATTGATTATGGAAGAAGGCTGAGACTCTTCTTCTTCTTCTTCAGCAGGTATAAGTTCGACGAGAGCTGCCTCAGATTCACTCTCACGATCAGAATTGAGATTTGTTTCGATGTGATCCGTCTCTTTTTTCTCAGAAGAAAAAACAATTGGCTCGTCAGCGATTTGCTTGTCGTCCGGTAAACTGTGATTATCTTCTTCAGATGCTTCTGCTGTTTGTGCTGCTTCTGCTTCTGCTGCTGCTTCTGCTGCTGCAACGATTGTATTATAAACACATGTGATATTCTCAGTTATCAAATTCATACGTGAATTGAGCAACAAAAGCAACGGAAATCAAATAGAATGTTTCAGTTTCCGAGGAGGTATGAAAAGGACATGCTAGCAAGTTATTGAACAAGAGACCAAAGGAGTGTATGGGAGGAGATGGAGGGGGGCATCAGTGACGACGACATTTCGAGACAAGACAAACATCTATCATCTCTACATATATTTTAAATTTGATATGAGCATTATATAGATGGGAACAAGCTGGAGCAGTCAAGTTTTATCAAACAAAAAAAAATTTTTTTTTGTTCTCTCTCTTCATATCCTAAATTTACAAGGAGGCTTCTCATCTGTAAATTTAAAAATATGGATCATCGAAGATATCCCAAGAGGACAATGATGTTAAACTTTGATGCATTTTTAAGGCTGTAAAGAGGAAGTATTGACCTGTTTGAACCTAAATACAAACAGAAAAGAGAAAAAATGAAAAAAATGACAAACGAAAAATCATTTTTGAATAATGGAAACACGAGAGCGGTTGCATTGGAAATACTTACGATGTGCTTCTTTCTCCTCTTCCACAACTAACTCTTTGGGAGAATTTTCCTTGTCTTCCTCGTCTGATGGAGAATTGATGCTCTCGTCTGGCGTTTTGCCCTCTGGCGTTATACTTCGATCTTCAGATTTCACGTAGTCTTCTGACTGAAAATGCAAACAAATTGATTGAGGACAACATGGTTGTGCGCAGAGTAGTAAGCAGCAGAAAATAAAAAATGAAAAGTTCAATTAACATAAATGAAATGACAAAACAAAAAAATAAATAAATACTTTCACAAGACAGACAGATAGACAGACAAGGGAGGGAGGTGGGGAAGGCAGACCATGCTCTATTTGTCTTAGAATTGAAAGAGCTGGAACTGCTCAAAATGCTTTATAAGATTAAGCAGCTAGTTATAAGTATAGCTAATGGGCAAGCAAGGGAATGTTACGCATATTTTCTTTTCAGAAAAGCTTTAACACACTGCATGTAATAGTCTTATAGCTCCATGAATCAAAAAAATAATAGCCAATCTAACAAAGGTGTTCAACATCGTGCAAGAAAAAAACATAAAGAGAATAGTAACAAAAGCTTTTCCCGACAAAAAAAAACAGCGAATAGATCAATGACAGAGAGGAAAAGCAATCGAAAACGGAAGAAAATATGGAGAAGACGAGGACGAAAACACACAAAAACATGAATAGACAGCAGGTTTGACAACTGAAGTCCGAAGTCAAAGCTCATTGAGTCTCTTCTTCTCTAGAAGTACTCTGCTTCTTCATGGCTGATGAGCGAACTTCCACAAACTTTTTCCTATATACTTTTGGCTTCATTTTTTGACGAGAAAGAGAAAAAAAAAGAGATTATGAGAAATGAAGAGATATAGAGAGAGATGGAAGTCTTTAAAGAGAATAAGATGCAGGAGATAAAACGAGAGAAAAAGTGAGAGAAGGACAGTGGATTGAGCAGTAGAGATTGCAAATGAACAAACTGAATCATGCACATCGAAAAATGATAGTGAGATTATTTGAAGAACCGGAAAGCCATTGATTCTATGAAAAGGTTTTGATGAGAGAATACAAGGGTAGTTGGATAGGGGAGGATTAAACAAAAATTTTGAAAAAGATATTATCGTGAAACAGTTATAAGGATGCCGCGAGTGTTTATAACATGTAAGCTTAATATGGCAGATGTCAAATGTGAGAGGAAGCAGAACAATCGGCATTCACGCAGATAATTATGAAAAATCAATTTTTTCGTCTTCCAGGATTTTCATAAGTAAATTACTTGATGAACAGAGAGAGAGAGAGAAAGAGAGAGAAAGATAGAGAGAGAGAGAAAAGAAAGGAAGAACATAAAATATGTCTGAATATGCGCATAAATACGTATATTGAGGCAGTTGAGGAGAGGATAATGATTAAAGGGAGAAATCAACTAATGTCTTCATGGGAACAAGAAACTGGAAGACGTTCTTGTATATGGATGCTAAAGAAATGCATAGACCAACCATACTATTCGTAAAGAAAAAAAAAGTTGGAAATGATGCCATCTAAACTTGAAAAATAAAAAAATAGAACGGCAGGGAGCCTTTTACTAGCTTCCCATACGCAATCATTCAACTGTTTTCAAGTTTAAATGATGGTCAAGCAACTGACCCATCAAATCTCGTGTTTGAACCTCTTTATCTTCTCCAGCCTCTCATCCTCCCTCTGCATTTCCTCCTTCTCATATAAACAGATAACTAGATTATATTGAAGAAAAATGGAAATTAAAGAATAAAAAAGAAGAAGAAAAATGAAATAATCATTAAAGAACTGGATTAGCATGATGAAATTCATAAATTACATAATCACATTAAGAATCGGAAAGACACAACCGTTTCTGAGTGTTAGCAAATGTAAAATGGAATTGGTTGTATCCAATAATGATACGTGGATTGATGTAGTCCTGGAGATTTGTGTGTATGTGTAAGTGTGTATATGCCGTGTAAATAAGAGTTGGAAAGACATTTTGGAGCTCATACTTAGATCGAACTCATTGAATGTATTTAGAAATACAAAAATTGTCGGAAAAATAGTATAAAGATGTTTAGCGAATGCGAAGGATATGGTAAGCTTTTAGAATAACAACAAGAAGCAACATGAGACATGAGAGAAAGTAAAGAATAGACGACGACCTATATATCTTTAACTGAGTGCTTAAAGCCTCCCATCCAAAGCTGATTCTCTTTCTATTTGTCGAATATTATATTCGATTTCCATCTTTCTCATATACAAAATAATTTAAAATAGTTTTCGTCTTTTCTTTTTTATCTATCAGAACGACTTCAGTCAAAGAGCAAACAGTTGAGCTGAGAAGGGAAGAAGCTTGAAAGACGTGAGATATGAACTAACTTAAAAAGGAAATCATTTGTTTTCACAAATCTTATGAAAATTAAATTAGCAACATAGGAACAGGTTGTCATTTATCTATTTGCCCATCTATGCGTGTATTTATTCATCCTATTTCATACTACTAGCTGCTCATGCTTCTAGAAAATGAAAAGATCTTTTCGTATTGGCAGCTCACCTGCTCACTATGTATCTCATCCTTCACGCCGTCCTCATCATCAGCTCGCTCATCCATATCTGAAATTTCATCTTCATTTTTGGTCAAGCCACTTAACTGTTCCTAAATCTTATACGATTACACAAACAATGTATTATAGTCAAGCAGAAAAAAATTTGAATAAGCAACAAGATAAACAAAGACAGCTGCAAGCTCGGTGTTGTATCCTACCATTCTTGAGACATAGTATCGGATGAGCTAATCTGTTTTCACTTCAATATTTGGGGACTCAATTAATCATCAATTCATGCTTTTGCCATATTTAGCAATCGCTCATGCGCTTAATTAGTCAGACTATTAGTTCTGACCAGACTGACACCGTTTCTCTCGCCAGCTCTTATATTGGACAATCAAGGACGTTATAATCTCTTTCTCTCTCTATTCGTCAATCATGATGAGAGGAATAATTGGTTATATCTTCTGCTCAGAGCACAAGAACATCATCGTCCAAGTTCTCTTCTGAAAGCTGGAAGACATGTATCAACAGCGGAAAGGAAGTAAAGTATATTTCGGTCTACAATAGATCATAACACAAAGATTTTCGAGAGAACTTACCATTTCAGGCAGATAGACAGACAAGCACATCAATGACATGAAAGTGTCTTTCGAGATGTTCAGGGCTCATGGACTTGAGCGTGTCAAATGCATTTTTGCCGAAATATTGTAGCTTTTCATCGAACTTCTCATTATCATTGCATGGATAAAATACAACCATAAAGTGAGAATCAGCTCGAACTTCATGCATCTATTTGGTCATGAATGGAACCTTCTGCATATAATTCCGTGTCCCATCACATTTATTTACAAAAAGTGACAGTACTTTTGAAGAATTTATCACCTAAAACAAGCCAACAACAAAATCAATAAATTATTAAGTTAAGGATATCACAATAGTCCTGTGAACAGAAGATTGGAGGGATAAAATACATACTACAACCCAGAAGGGGACCAGAAATAGAATGAGAACTCGGTAACCCGAGAGAAATACATGTACTGAAAACTAGATAATAAATAAGTAGTCCCATTCTAATTTTTGAGTGCAAAATGAGAATAAAGAATGAAAATGGAACTTGATAACAACCAAATCAAGGTGAAGCCTTAACGATGGTAGGCTTGTTTCTCAAGACTCCCTTCTTGTTCTTTCCCTGGAAGAAAAAAGATTTAATAAAAGTTTGCAGCGGGATAATCTTACTTTGCTGGCCGACTTCTTTCCGACGCGCATCTTCTTCTCATTGGCTTTCAGAGAGGGACGATTTGGTAAATCCTTAACTTTATAAATTCTAACAAGCCAGTTCTCAGTAGTGTAAGCTTCCTCGATATATTCAAGAGTGACGTCCTTAAAAGCAAACATATTCCTGACAACAATGGTAATATCACACCTTCTTTCCGATGACATATCCACGAGTTCTATCGAAACCACCAGCTTGGTTGTATCCTACTCTAGTTTCACCAAAACGATAATAGCTCATCTTGTACATAAGACAGTTGAGCATAGTTTCAGAGGCTTGAGCTCCTACGCTGTATTCTCCGGATTCAGTGAAATAATTAGCTTCCTAAAGTTTCATATCTCAAGAGCTAATTATTGCATTCTTACTCTAATTTCCTTTGGATGTTCTCCTTCGGCGATTCTAACCATCCACAAGAACTTATTGATATCATCACCAGAATATCCGATGACTCCTCCGAAAATCACAAGAATGTAATCGACGTCTAACTCTTTCATAATTTCATAAGCGGCAGATTCGTTAGAAGACATAGCTTTACCAACCTATAATCACCAATGAACTACAAAAAACATTATAGTAACTTACTAAAGCAATGTGGGAGTTGTTCCAGGTGTTGTTGTCAACAAGAGTTGTTCTGTTAGCCATTCCAGCGATTTGATAACCGTAATCCCACCAGGACATAATTCTGGCATCATCAGCAGTGTTCTCACGCAGCCAGTGATAAGCCTCACGGAAGTCATCCATAATGATGCGATCACTAAAAAGAATGCATATCCTGTTAGTCAGTATGTGAAACTTACCCATCATGAGTAGAGCTTTGAAGCACAACAGATGGATGAGAGTATGCATTGCTAGTCACATATGTACAATGAACTACGAACATCATAAGAAGAAGGGAGAGAACAACGCAAACAATAGATTTAGCGTTCAATCCAACAGATTCATCAACAGATTCTCCAGCAGTTACTGTCTGAATATAAAAAGAGTTGTGAGGAGAGATGGCAATTTGTGTGAAAACAGGGACAGAACGAAGACTTGAAACATAAAAAACAAAACACACTCACAACACCATCTTTTACCTTCTTCTTAGAGGGCTTGTCATATTGGACCTTCTCACTTTCTGGCTTGGTGACAGTCTTCTCTTCATCTCGCAAGTATCTAAGCAAAAAGTATTGTCAATGAGAGAGCAGAAACAAAGGATACTTTTCAAAGATGTGGGAGAAAGCGATTCCAGCAAGAACACAAACTGCAGGTGTCAATGTTAACATCAAACGGACCATGACTCCAGCAAAGTAAACGGAGAAAACGGCATACAAAATGACTGAAAATAGATGTTAACTCAATTTTACATTCTTATAATCTTACTGAAAACTCTTTCATCGTTAACTTTCTTAACGCAGAACCATAATCCAGCTGGGAAGATAGCAGCGGTGATATGTAAATCAAAGAAGAATGCAACCCAAGTAGTAGGCTGATGTTCAGAAACAGAGGCAATAATTGGAATGTGAATCTGAAAAAAACGGTTTAGAACTTTATATTACGTATTAAAGATTACCTTAGCATAACCGGTATCCCAGAGAGAGTAGAAACGTCCAGAGAAGGGAGCAACATATCCTCCCCAAACTAGGGCAAAGTAAACAACGAAGGCAAGTCCGAACGTGATAGCAAGACCGCCACCGAAAATAGTAACGAACTGTTGACGAGTAACACGAGGTCTAAGGTATTGAAGAGCAGCGACAATCTTCAAGAAATAGTTTTATGTTGATAACAATGCTGAGTTTCTAACCTGAAGCAGACCAAACACTCCGAAAGCTGGCATGTGTTCAGAAGTGCGCACAGGTTGGAACCCTACGAATGGAATCTGCATGGACAGAACGGTAGCCAGACAGTAGAATGAAGTATAAGCAACAAAGAGACGAGAAGAATAACGTCCTAAAGATCTTTGTTAACCGAATAATGCAAAAGCATCAACTGACCCATAACGATAAGAGCAACAACGTGCAATGGAATCAAGTTGATGATGAAGACATATCCTCCCCAAGCTGACACCATGTAGAAGTAGGAAAGAGCACACAAGGATGCCCACATTACTGACCCGGTTTTCAAAGCTTTTACCCAGAGGTAATATGTGAACTGAAAACCAGCGGTATTGTAGATATGGGGTGTAAACAAACTTGAAGAGCGAAGATAGCAATTCCTTCGTTATCATAAGATCCAGCAACAGAACGACTGGTGTATCCAGGAGAAATAGCGATGAAGCAAGCAGCGAAAAGACCTTAACAATCTTAGTTTTCAGGGTATCCTGGTTCATTTTTACCTGCTCCAACACTCCATAATTCCTTAGTCAAGAAATAGGTGGCAATAGCAGTAAGTCCTGAGAAAGTAGGAGCCAAGAAAACACAGATATCTCTGTAACATGAATTGTATTGACGACCTTTCAAGATCGCGATACCTGATATGAGCTTGGAAGTTCAATGTTTCCAGAATCCAGTGAATCAATCCAGAGGTAACCATCAGACCGGGGTAGACCTTCAATCATATAACGATATTTTTTAAAGTATCAGATAATCTTACGGTTCCTCCGACAATTCTACCAAGAGGGTACCAGGCACGTTCATCGAACCAGTTCAGGAAACTATAGAAACCGTTTTGGACCATATTGTGAGTAGCGCGGTAGTTGAACCTAGATCATATATCCTAATTTCTAATTTTGATATCATTTCCCTACCATGGATCGAACTCGTGGATGATAGACTCGAAACGAACGATGGCAAACAAACGAGATGCAAATCCGACCATCCATGCTAAAGATAGAATAGCAAAGGTCAGTAAGGTTGTGATTCCAAGCGAGTTGCCTCGCAAGAGGCTAGCTTGTCCTGTCATTACCTGTAAAGGTACAATTTACAATGTTAAAAAAATATTCAAAAGCTATGCAACAAGCATTCTGATACGTCACGTAATATTAGAGAAATTATGCGTGGCATTCGAATGACACGAAGGGTTAGGCGCGTTGAGACCTTTAATCTGAAAAGAATGCGTGCAGCACTTGCATTTAGGCTCCGCCCTTCTGAATGAAGTACATGTTGTACGGAGCTTCTGCTGATTGTAAAAGCAAGAAAGCCTAATAATTTATGCATTTTCGAGCATTTTTCAAACAAAAACTTACATAGCTTCGATGATACAGTTGACGAGAAGCAAGACAATCGATCGAAGTCAAAATTTATTGCATTTTGTCTTTGATTATCACAAAACTGTATTTCGAATCGATTGAATGAGGTGGTGTTTCTTGTGAAACAAAGCTTTCTCTCCATTTTCTGTAACTTTTCTTTTCATATCTCTTGTCATTATCGATTGATTATGTTAATTTTCATTTTTACTTAAAATTTTTGTAGACCGGTGTTCTTCATTTTCAGTGGAATTGTGTTTATGATACTCGTGTAGCACAAGTGGTAAGTGAGGTAGATCTCGCTTGAAATGGGCGTCACGGGTATTTGGGATCATATGCAGAAATATGCTGAAATGATTGATGTAGCACAACTTAAAAATACTGTGTTGGCTATAGGTATGTTACCCTCTCACCATAACTGATTTTAGCGTTTCGTTTTTCAGACGGTCACATTTGGTTATTTGAATCAACGAAGGGATGTCAGACTTATGGAGTTACCACTAGCTCAACCTTCTTAGTCACTTTCTACAACAGATGTCGACGGCTTCGTGAGCATGGAATCGAACCAATCATAGTGTTTGATAATATCTCGTATGCAAGTCCCAATCAATCGGTATGCCCAACTCTACCTACTTCAAAACGCTTCTCTTTACAGCAAGTTCTTGTCGATAATATCCGTAGGAAACGATCAAAAAGGTTTGGTGGAGGTGGCTGGACTTTGGAAAACTGTGCTCATATAACAGAAAAGATCACCAAAATTCAAGTAATTGATCTCTAGAATCCATTTCATTATTTCGCATTCTGTAGGCTCTGCTGGAAGCCATGGGAGTTCCATGTATTTTCGCTGGATCGGAAGGTGAAGCTCAATGTGCTCAGTTAGAGAAAGTCGGAATTGTTAACGGATGTGCTACATCTGATTTCGATTATTTCCTTTTTGGTGGGTTAAATCTTTATAAGGTGAGTCATGGTCGAATTTTCACCGCGTAACGATTATTCGTTTTGAGATCGAATTTTCAAATGGAGGAAGATCTATAAACCCAAATGTAACTCACTATTCTATGCATGTTTTCGAGAAGACTCTAAGTAAGAATTGTTTGACTTAGGTTGTGAGAACAGTTTTCTTTCAAGGTCTAAATCGGAATCGGTTAATTACACTGGCTATGCTGCTTGGGTGTGATTACCTCGAAGGAGGAGTTGGAGGGGTAGGAATAGTAACAGCTTTGGAAATTCTATCAGAATTTACTATCCACGAAGATGATCATATCATATCAATTTTGGATCGATTCTCGTAATTATTTGGCTTTATTAATACTCAACTCTTCTTTTTCCTAAACAGATCATATTGTAAGCAAGAATTGCCTCTTCGAGAATCAGATTCTCCTGTTAAAGTGAAGTTTCGATCCAATAAGTTCAAAATACCTTATGGGTTTCCTAATACCGAGGAGTATTGGTAAGTTTTTCTTGGTTATTTGCATAACAACATGGCTTTAGCGAAGCTGCGTCTATCTATCTCCTGCCTTGTGTAATTGATTATCAAAGATCTAGTATACCATTACCCAGAGATCTAAATTTTAAAATTGTAGCTGTGAGTTCATTATCTATCAAAGGCGTTGACCTTTTTTTCCTTTCAGAACTTACTTCTGAAAGAATGTAATTGGAGTGCTTCTAAATTTGATAAGGAAATATCACGAAGCCAACGTTTAGAGCTTTCAATAAGGAAGAGTCTCGTGAGTATTGTGATATAAATAGTTTTTTCATGAGTTTTGACAGATGCAATCCCGCGTAACTGAGTATTTCGTTTCTTCTAAAAGAAGAGGCTCTTCCAAAATAGAGGAAACTTATGTGGAAGAAGAACGTCCTAAATGTAGTCAACGTGAATATGCCGCGTTGGAAAGCTTGAGAAAACGTGCTAGCTTATATGACGTTATTGTTAGTTTATATCTTCAAGTAAATAGTTCAACTCTGTTGTTGCAGTCCGAGTTGCCTAAACCTTTGCCCAAAAGAATTGGTGGACCTATAGAAGCCAGTGCCTCTCCCGCCAAGAGAAGCAGTCCAATGTGAGTTGTGGCACTGCTGCAGTGTTGACCAAGCGTTTGTTTATAGCATAGTTAGTGATACTACTCCAACTACATCAACTCAACAGCAGAATCTTCAAGCTTGCGAAGATGGTGAAACATTCAGTGCTGGAGCTTCTGTTATATTAATACAGTAGCTATCTCAGAAATTTCTTAAAGATGTAAAATACTAAGTTCTCTCAGCTGTAATGATGCTTTGCATGGAAATGTCGATTTCAATTTGTATCTATTCAAATTTCCAATAAGTTTTCTTTGAATAATTTGCTCATTCCTTTTTGATTTTGTGATAACTTGAATCTTTCTTTATCAGATGAATTTAAATTTTAAAAATTACAGGAACTTGTTTATATGTATGTACTCGTTATTAGTCGCTTCTTAGATGAGGTTTTTCAATTTTTCAAGGTTTTACAAATAATTTTGTGTGCTTTTCGTATTCGGAGCATTTTACTTCACACGCGCTAAACTTTTTCAAGAAATTTGTTTTTTTTATTTTATTCTCTTGGTTTCACACCAGATCTTGTACCGACACCTTTTCTCTTTTCTGAGAAACTTAATCTTTCATATTCAGATGAGCAGAGGCGTTTTAGCATTGACAGGTCCAGCTGGAGGCCCACAAGATGACCAAGTTCTAGTTGATGCGTTGCCATACCTGGATGTGGATTATAATGAAAGTGATCGACAACTCGCCCATATGCTCATTGAGCAGGAGTGTAAAATTTTTCGCCCAACAAAGAACTATTTGAAACATTTGGCTGTACCCGACTTCGACATGTTCTTGACCCCTAGCATGCTGAAAGAACATGCCCGCATGGCAAAAAAACAAGTTGGTGGCTTCTGGTTGACGATTCAGCTATTATAATTTCAGGATATGCAAAAGCTGGACATGAGTCGTTGTGAGATACCTTCTCCCGCTGGAACTTCCAGAGCGAACGACCGTGACGCATGGAAGAAGGTGAGACTTCTTCGGGCCTCTCCAGTTTCTATGTTTTTCTATTCAGAGTATCAAAAACGCCAAAACTCAGAACGAACACTTGGTTTTACGTCAAATAAATCTGGAATTAATGAACGACTATGCCGCCGAAAGCTACCTCCGTAGAAATAAGGAACTAGAGAAAGAATTAACAAAGTCTGAGACGATATTGAGGAAACATAAAGAGCAGGTAGAAAATGGTTTCCGAACTTGTCACATCCGTTTTTACAGATCATGGAGGTCCATGCTCATAGGAAACGCTCACAAATGGACGCTGGAAGGCTATTAAAAGAGAAGGAACAGAACTGGGTATCTATGGTTTCAAACAACTACAGGTATGCTATTGAAGCACTTTTGTCTTGAGCGGTTTTTTGTAGAATGGAAATGGCAATCAATGAACTTACAAAGACAACAACGGAAGACGCTAAGCGATTGAAACTAGATGAGAACCATTTCGCAAAAAAATAAGTTATTGATCATTGTTTGAGTCTTCCGGAGGACTGTGTTGATCTCTCTGATTGTAATGCCGATAACTATAAAGTGTTTTTAAGCAGGATGAACGGCCAATGATGTTCTCATTCATGCATGTCTCCTGATTATGCAGTACACAGAAAGCCTCCGCAGCCCGAAAGATTAGTGAAGAAGAAGAGCATATGAGCGTTAAAAGAAAAGAGAATAGAAAAGACAGAAAAAGTGAAATAATAAAAGATGAATGTCTGATGAAACATCAAATGGAAGGTGTAAAGTGCTGACACATCGAGCTTCAAAATCCTACGTCATGTTCAATTCGAGGGCACTGATTCTTTCTCTTTTTTTTTGTTATCTCAGTCGTTTAGTTTTGCCAGCAATTGATTCTTCTCGGAAGCGGAAAAACAGTTGCCAATGTTCGTTAATAGAGTACATCCTAATGACAGGGCATATTTTCTTCCTGTTTTCAATCAATTCATACTTCCATTTTGAACTTCCTTCGGTTTTGAACTGATAGAAGAGTTCAATTTGTATAAAAATCACTTGAGAGCACAAGTAGCACGTTCAAACGAGAAGCATCGACCGAAGATTCTCTCATAATATTTGTCTTAGTCGTTGTCTCCCCCAACTTAATCACCTCTCGCATCATAATGACCGATGTGAATTATTTGAAAGCTAATTAGTCAATGCATGCTTAACCAGGCTATTTTCCATATCAACTAAACATAATATGAACTGTAGAGACTTTACAACAATCTGAATTGGCAATACGAAATAATTCAGTTGTTCGTTGACACTTGTTTCGATCAGTTACAATCATTATCAATATTCTTACGACACATACAACTGCATTGATTATTCAATTTATAAACGATCTCACGTATGTCTATGTTTGTAATTTCGAAAACTCTTCGAACCAGTTTTTTTTCGTATATTTAAATGCTCCTTCGGACAACTTCCATCTCTGTATGGTATTCTCTTGTTAGTTTATATGAATTCCTCCCACCTTGGGCTTAATCAGTCTGAACCTGATAAGAACGTTCACGTTTTTTCGTCTTTAACCCTCTCTCTTCACCTATCATCCAGAATGATTTAGTGACCTTTCAATACTCCATAACAACAATATATCTTTCTTCTAATATATTGTTTTACTTTTCCAATCAGTCCAACAAAAAAAAATTTGGTTGACTTGCTTAAAATAGATGATTGTTGAAGGTCATTAGGATACCCATCGACGCTTTTCCTGTTTTTATCAAATTTTTCTTTCATTTGGCTCCTGAAAACAACTGTTTTCAGCAATTGAAACTTTTTCCCTAATTTGCCACGTTTAGTTTAGAGAACTCGAGAGTGTTTATTGTTTGATCTCACGGTTTTTTTATTTGAAAGTTATGAACAAAAATTATAAAGAAAATTGTTTTGCTTCATCCCATCTCCCACTTCCGTTACTCATCAATCATTCAAATTAGAAATGCTTTCTATTTCAGGCGTTAAGATTGGTAATGAATAGAACAAATGGCTTGCCTCCGAAAGAGAAAGGTAAGAATGAATTAAATTCAAAAACAAAGAAAATAGGAGAAAATATATTACTACTCGACTTACCTGCCTGCAATGCAACTTGAAAACAACCGCTCTTCACGTCAACAAGATTTGAAAATGACCTCTCGCTTGATGTGACTCTTTCGAAGTCCGAATTCAACGTTTGAAATATGCAAATTAGCGGATCTTACATTTGAAATTTTTTACATAGGGGCGTGTTTACATTTCACTGAGAGTGTAGCATTGAATCAACAGTCTCTCACATTTGCTGCTCTTAACAGCATTTTCATGTTTTGTTAGTCATTAAAGTGTTTTATAAATGAAAAAATGTCCAATGAGGGAGGGTGTGGATGGTGAGGAGAGACGAGAGTCAGAGATGCAGACTTATCGAAATAGGTCATGGAACCAGAGGAGTCAAAGTCATGAAAGTTTTTTGGTGAATTTCCACCCTCATGGAATGTATTTATTTAATTTATGAGACCAGGCATATTTTAGTTTCTAGTCTGTTATGTGAAAGAGATTCCGAACTAGTTTGCAATATGAGTTCCGCATAATTCATAACCTTTAATATTATTATTTGCCTGTTTGTTCTTCTAAACCTTGTTTACTTATTGTTATTTGAATTCTTGCAATTGTAAAGAAGTAGAATTGATTGGTCAAACCAATAAGCTCATGAGCGAAGTTGATTCACCTTCTTTCATTTTCCGTTTGTATCTTTTTTTTTCTCAGTTTAATACTGGGAAAACAACATTTTGTTGTTTAGACTCACATCCTCCCGTTCACTAAAGCATGTCTTATCAGTTTAGTTACAGAGAAAGATCACTTTGTCTGTTCCTCACTCAGTTTTTCCTGAACAAATCTGATATAAGAGCCTCAATGTTTTTTCTTATCTCAATAATCTTCTCATATATAGCATTGTGCCATACTTTCCTCATAACTTTCATATTCGACGCTTTTTCTGTTTGTTTTCACTTATTTCTCTCCTCTTATTCACTCATATTGACTTTTTAATTTTTTAAAACTCAGAAATCGCGTTGCTTTTGAACATCTTCTCCTCCTCTGAATTCTCATTGAACCAGATGTTTGAACAAGAAGTATTTCTTCTTACAAAATTCTTTTAATGGAAAAGTAAAGTGTGTGGTTTTGCCAGCGAAAAAGGTTGTCTGGTTTGTTTCTGTGATCGGCCTTGTTTTCACTGACATGATACTCAATAATCCATTTTTGAACATAACGTTTCTTTTTCTCATGCATATTTGTTTGAAGTTTTTTCTCCTAAATCTCTCCGCAGTTCAGTGTATGAGCGTATGATGAATGGAACTCAATTTCATTCGAAGCTCGTAATTCTCAAAATAAGGATTCTGTAATTTCTTTTAACGTTTCCATGGATTTCTCAATTTTTTGATGAGATTTGACTCTCATTCTTCGGAGAGAGAGAAACAGATACAACGTATGGAGAACATTGATCTAATGATTTCTATCGCCGTCTTGTTTTGAGAAGTCCATTAAACGGCAAGTCTTGACCGCATATCTTTATGTTCCTTTCTAGGTCTTATCTTATCGAATTTATGTTGTCCAAACAGTCTTATTCAAATTAAGTTTCATTTGTGATGATTTCCGTTTTTTTGCAGGTCTAGAGAAAGACAATATGGGGGTTGAGTCTTACGCTGTATCAGTTGTGAGCTCAGCTGTCATTGTCTTTCTCAGCTATTTTCTGGGTCTATTCGGTTATTCCTGGTTATGGATATGGATTATAGTTGGTCTCAATTTGGCGAAAAATTACCTATGGAAGAAGAGAGAAAAACAGTAATCAAAGAAATGCGATACCTCTTCAGAAGCATTTGAATTTCAGTTTAATGTCTCTACGAGCTACCTCTTTGCGAGAAAGAGAAGTTATCATGGCCCAATTACAAGATCTTCCTGCTTGGGTTCAGTTCCCTGATACTGAAAGAGTAGAATGGATGAACAAGGTGAGAATTGTGTTTGAGATTCTCTCACATTCTTCGTATCTTAGGTTATACTACAGCTTTGGCCATATATTGGAGAGTACGCCAAAGTATTCATGACTGACTTCATTATTCCCCAAGTCAAAGTGAGTTACATTTTCTTATAATTACTTAGTTTGAGAATTTTTGTTAGCAATTGTAAGTTCATGCAACTCCTCTTGTCACTTTTTCTCTGAGAAATGAGATTATCGAAAGCTTAATCGATATTCTACTTTCCGAACCCATTTGACATCTAATGTTTTTTCTCATAGGCTCAAATGCCCGCGATGTTCAAGAATTTTAAGTTCACAAAAATGGATATGGGAGACATCCCATGTAGGGTTGGGGGAATAAAGGTTCGACTCTTAACTTCACATGGGGTCTAAGCGTTTCGGATTCAGGTGTATACTCATAACGTCGGTCGCGATAGAATTATCGTGGATATGGATGTCGCCTATGCTGGCGATGCAGATTTCTCAGTTTCTTGTTGTGGATTCACTGGAGGAATGAATAATCTCCAAGTAGGTATTGTTTGAGAGGCTGTCGAACGTTTTCGTTCAGTTTTCGGGCAAGCTCAGAGCTGTACTCAAACCTTTACTGCCTTACCCACCAATGGTCGGTGGAGTTTCAGGATCTTTTCTCGAAATGCCGGTGAGTGTCTAAAGGCAAAACAATATGTTACAACTTATTTATTTTAGAAAATCGATTTCAATCTCACAGGAATGGGAGAGATGGTAGAACTTCCTGGCTTGATGAATGCTATTCGTACTGTCGTTAATAGCCAAGTGGCAGCCTTATGCGTTCTTCCCAATGAAATTGTGGTTCCTTTGGCTCCAGATGTAGATGTTACTCGTCTATTCTTCCCCGAACCAGATGGGGTTGTTCGGCTTCGAATTATTGAAGCTAAGAACTTGGAGAATCTAGATATTACTCTTTTCAAAAAGGGGAAAAGTGACCCATACTGTGAGATTCAAGGTTCGAAACCTATGCTCTGAAAACGTTTCGTAAATGGTGTTTTTACAGTTGGTTCTCAGTTCATGAAAACTAAAACGATCGACAACAATTTAAACCCTATCTGGAACGAATATTTTGAAGCTGTTGTTGATCAAGCTGATGGTCAGAAACTTCGTATTGAAGTGTTCGATGAAGATCAAGGGAAAGACGAAGAACTTGGTCGTTTAAGTTTGGAATTAAGTAAAATTAGAAAATCAGGATATATTGATCAGGTGGGATTGCTTTAGCTTAATAATAAAGTGAACATATCGTTCTAGTGGTATGCTCTAGAAGGATGTAAGCATGGTGATATTCATATCAGAGCAACTTGGATGAACTTGTCAACGGTAGTTACCTGTTGTGTTCGAAGCTAAAATATTAATACTAATCTCAGGACCTTCGCTATTTGGACGTACGTGAGCCAGAATACTTACAAGCAGATAAGCCAGTTCACCCTGCTCTATTGATGGTTTTTGTTGATTCAGTCTCAGAGTTACCTGTAAGATTAAACGTTGCTAACTATAAACTCATCCGTCCGTTCAGTATCCTAAATCTAAACTTGAACCATCCCCATTCGTTGAAGTGACTCTTGGTAAGGAAGTTCAAAGAACACCAGTGAAAGTAAGTTTCAAGTTGAAAAAACAATTCTATTATTTATTTCGATAGGTTAAAACTGTTAATCCATTGTACCAATCTAAGTTTTTGTTCTTTGTGAGAAATCCCGAAGGCCAAGACCTTAAATTTGAAGTGAGTTTTCTATTCGTTGTTCGTCGGTTTCGTGGTGTAGTGGTTATCACATCTGTCTAACACACAGAAGGTCGGCGGTTCGAGCCCGCCCGAAATCAATCTTTTTTGTTTTATTCGCTTTTGTCTACTTTTCATGTGGAAATGAGATTCATTGAAATATTTTATAGTTATACGTTTTTTAATCTTATCTTTCCTTTTCTATATCTATAGGCAATCGACGATGGAACTCGCCGTACCATTGGATCTCTAACAATTGGACTTAACTCTCTCATGAAAGAGCCATCACTAGAGTTTTATCAACAAACATTCATGTTGACTCACGGTGTTCATCAAAGTCCAATCGTTGTAACTGTCAGACTTCGAGTAAGTTCAAGTTTATGTGTGTTAGTTCGAGTTAGTTAGAGTAATGGAGACGTTGCTATTCCAACCTAGATATGTACGAAACAAGTAGTTCAAAGTTCATGGGGGATAAGTTTGGTAGGATTACAAACGATTAGCATATATTTCTTTGAAACGCTTTGAGCTCTCACAGCTCCAGAATTCCTTCCTTTTTCTAGGGTCTGGCTGATGCTGATCCAAGCAGAAGACTTATCATAACAGATAAGCCTCCCAAGGTAGTAGACATGCATCCCGTTGAGAGTGTATCTGCAACTCACCCACTCTCACCCAGTAATAATAAGGATATTTCTGAAGAGTCTAAACTTACTCATGATTCATCATTCATTTCGAACGAACTTGCTGCTTCGGAAGTCACTGTGGAAAGAGCCATAATACCCGATGAAGTAATCATAGCAGCGAACGAACCAGCACAACCTCGGCATAGAAACCTCCATGCGGACGAGGATGTTGTTGAACATGCTTATTAGAAGCGATTAACGCATATCATCATAACTAAAACCTCTGCTGCTTGCCGTTTTTTTTGTTTTTCCTCGTTTACTAGGCCTTTTTTGAGCTTTCCGTTCATCTATCTTCCCGGGTTTTCATTTCATAGCCATATGAACTTTTCGTTGAGCTACCGGATGAGTGCTCCAATCGAATTAGAATTTAACCATTTGTTTGTTTGGCTTTTAGTTGCTAAAACATTTACGAACGATATCACAGTGTTATCTGTTCTTGATAAATGTCACTAATTATGAGAAGTGTTGTGTGATTCTGTTTTAGGCATATATTTAGAACATCCGCTCATAGTTCACCATGTTTAGGCTCTAGCACGTGGCACAAAACATAATGCTGATGGAGTTTTAGATGACGATATCATGAGACATTACGGAAATGGTTACCTTCTTCTCTTTTCTTCACCTCATTTTTTAACTTCAGCTTCTCATATTGAGCGGGCTGACAGACCTGGCAAGAATGGAGATGTCAGAGCCGTTGAACCAGCCAAAACTGTCAACCTTAGTCCTGCTTCCAACGAACCAGAAGTTAAACTGAATGTGGAAGAGATTCAGGTGAGAAACAAATACAGTTCATTCACGTTCATCAGAATACTTTACAGATGCTCCGATCTGATTCAACGAACTCTCTTAATACGAGTTCTGGACGGTCTAGTAGACTGGGCCGAATGTTCAAAACAAAACATGCTAAAGAAAAACCTAGGTAGTGTCTGTCTAATTCTCCTAAATACATTTTCTGATACAGAGCGGACATCCCAAGAGGAGAGTTGCTGATGGCAATTAGATATATTCCAGAAAATCGTAAAATGGTTGTAGCTATATTGAAAGCAAGAGATCTATTACCCTATGATGCAAAAGGAACTTGCAATCCGTATTGTAATGTACGTAGTTGTTGTTCATATGCTTCGAAACCCTACAATTGCAGATCAAGTTACTCGATACGTCAAATAACAAAGAAGTTTATAAAAGGAAAACAGCGACCCTGAAATCAAACTTGTGTCCAGAGTTCCACAATCAGTTAGTGAACTCAGTCTTTAGTCTATGACGAACCATTTTATAGTTTCGATTTTGATATGGAGCCCTCTGATATTTTGAACTATAAATTGCAAGTTTCTGTCAAAGATGATACCAATTACGGGACTTTTGCTTCGAAGCCTGTTATTGGAATAGTTCGTTGAGAGCCAATGGTCAGAAACTCAACTGAATATTTGCAGGTTGAAATTAGATTTGATTCTCTGCATGAAAAGGAGTTACCGCAACAGTGGGTTCACTTACAACCAGAAAGGAAATAGAATGTT